ATTGATGGGAGGGGGGAGAAGATTGGGGGGGAGAAGAAGAGAAGATTATGGGGGGAGAAGAAGAGAAGATTACGGGGGGAGAAGCAGCGATTACAGGGAGGGAAGGGGGGAGAAGATTACAAGGGGGAGGGGAGAAGATTACAGGGAGGGGGGAGAAGAAGAGAAGATTACAGGGGGGAGAAGAAGAGGAGAACACAGGGAGGGGGGAATAAGAGGAAAACACAAGGGGTGGGAGATGAGAACGTAGGGGAGGGAGAGACCACTAAAGGAGGGAGGGGGCGGTGGAGAGACCACTAGGGGAGGGGTGTGAGGAGAGACCGCTGTATGCATCCCTTATGCATACAAACACAGATTCACACAATGCATCCCTTACACACAACAAGAAACACACAATACATCCCTTATACACACACACACACACACTGCTTCCACTACACACAAACACACTGCATCACCTACACAAACTGGTATCCCTATACACTACATTACGTAAGCACACACATTAGATCCTCTACAGTAACACATAACACATCCCCTACACACTCCACTCCCTGTGAGCGAACTCATGGGTGGAACATGTAGGTGGACTTATGGGTGGGCTTTATGGGCATACTCACCGTCAGGCCCTGGGGCCCAGACCTTGAGCCAAAAAATGGAGCTGCTTCCCGTTCTCCCAGAACATTGAATTTTGTGACCACAGTTACAAACAGCCTCCAGAGATCCTGTTCTACACCAGACCAGTGGAGCCAGACTGCAGCCAGAGCCCATCATCATCCTCATCTGATTGTAAGTAGGCAATCTAGTATATTATTAGTGACACTAATCTCTAATTTACCTCACATTAAATGGACACTATAGTCCCCAGAACCACTGCAGCTTAATAAAGTTGTTCTGGTGTCTATAGTTTGTCCCTGCAGGCTTTTTAATGTAAACACACACTGTGTGCAGCACTGGCATTAGTTCTATGGGTGGGGCATTGCGATGTTCCGGGAGGGGGGCGGCAAATCCTTCTTTTGCCTAGGGCGGCAAAAATCCTTGCACCGGCCCTGCTACCAAGCTGAAAAAGTATATGAAATAGTTGAATCACTCTGTTTCTCAGAATTTAGAGACTGGAACACAAGTTTCCTTAAGGAGTATGTCTGCTTGAGTTAAACCTTCTCTCTGGGTTTGACTCAGTGAGCCCCTGATTGGCAGTTATTATACAGTAATATAAAAGTTATTTGGCAGAAATATAGTAATGTAATAGAGAGAAGATGGTATAGATTACAGTGTTTTGTTACGAAGAGAGCAGTGGCGGAGCTACCACTGGTGCGGCTTCACTGGAGCCTGCACACTGAGGATCACTCGACGGGCAGCCATTACTGGGAGGAAGTGAGTGCATTACCCTCCCAGCTAACATACCTGGAGCTACGTGGGAGTTAGAGGAGGGTGGTCACAAGCTGACTCCCAAAAGTCCAGGCCAGCAGAAGCCACACTCCTGCACTCAAAAGGTAGGAAACAGGAGGCTGGCAAAAATATGACTAGCATGTGTGTCTGTATGTTTGTCATTGTGTGCCTGTGTATCTGTATGTGCATCAGTGTTGGCATCTGGTGGAGCCAGTGGACAGGCACCTGTTGCCAGATGCCTACCCTTCCAAATGGAAAATCTGGCCCTGGTTAATGCAATCATAGAGCAGTAAGTTTACTCCATCAGTGAAGAAATGCAACTTGTTTCATCTTCTGGGAGCAGCATTACAACACTGGAAATATCTCTACGAAATGTCTAACCTTTAACCCCTGGTGAACCATCGACATGCAGGGCATGCCAAGAAAGAAAAGGTTCAATGAAATATGGCCATGCATACTGTATGGTGCACAAGAGGTCAAAGGAACAGAATACCACCTTTGAGAAGGGCATCAAAGTGTAGCTACATTCAAGAGGTCTACAATAAAATACCACAGCCAGAGATATGACAAACGGTTTAAATTATTAAAAGTATTAAACATATAAGCACAAATTAACACATGTAAAGACAAATCCTGGAGTCTATGAAGTCTGCATCAATTAAAACCAAAAAGGAAAAATAACAAAAAAGCAAAAAGATACACACATTTAAAATATGCATACCATTAAAAAGTGTTAGTAGACATATTTACTCTGAAAGCATTTAATATGCAAAGAAATTAAAATATGTAACAAATTTATATTTTAGTCTCCAAAGTACTGGGTATGAATATCAATATAGACTGACGGGGCATTGTGTAAGCTGTTAACTACAAATGTGCAGAAAACAGTCAATGCCAGAATTTAACCCAGTAACAACCACATGTTGGTCTATGCGATCATGTGGGGCATGGCTCTAATGCCTATAGAATGTCATGCATTTAAAGTAGCAGCATGGTTAGCCAAGGTAATTCTGTGCCTGCTTCATTATTCCCCCAGGTGTCTATTGATAACTGATGGTCTTCTCTGTTATCTGAAGCCACAGACTGACTGGTGAGCTACATGCAACAGTCAAAGTGAACACTGTACATGACCCTTTAAAACACATTTTAAATACCATGGCTGAATGTTCATGCTCAGCCACGGTAATCCTGAGTTTGCCCCAATGATGATGATGGAGAACCTCAGGGTCCAAAAAGACCATGACGGGGTCCATCTGCCTAGTGCCAGCTGCCCAGCACGATCACAGAGCTGCAACATGAGAAGAGATCTCTTTCTCATGCTGCAATTAGGCAGTACAGAGAGCTCACAGAGTGCTCTGTACTGTGTGAGCTGGGAATTTCCTCTGCTGACTTCAGTATTGATATCAGCAGAAGTAATCCATCTGAGGGCCTGGACTAGGAGTTGCATTATTATTAAGATTATAGTTAGGATTATTAGTGGGCTGATGGGTTGGGTTTCAGATAGTATTGGATTATGTGTAGAATATTGGATAGGATTAAGGGTAGGATTAGTGATTGGATTGGGGTAAAATTAGGGGAAAGCTACAAATGTGGGGTATCATTGTACTTCAGAACATAGGAGAATACCAATAGTTAGTGCTTACAGTAGTGGGTCAAGTGTAGTCTGTGAATTTCCCAAAAATACAAAATACAATTAAATATTTTGACTGAGTTTTTATTTTTTTGTAAATATTTTATTCATATTTAATATTGTGTTATGTATATCTAAAGAAAGCCCAATACCTCCTTTAAAAATGATATATAATGTGTATGGGTGCTCTTAAGCAGAAAGGGTGAAATTATGGTAAATTGAATGAATGCATGACAAAAATGGCCTTTTCACAAACACGTTGCAAAAGTCCTTAACTTTTAATGGGTTAATGCAAGTATAAAAGTCATAGCTTTATCATGCACAGACTTTGTTCATCATTTCATTTAACACTTTGTCAGCCTTTCAGAATACATGGTGACAGTAAGTTAAACCACAACAAAATGCGAAAGTTTGTCGTGATTGGATGACTCGAGACAAGGTGCTACAGCAGTTAAAAAAAATTAATGTAAATAAACCTCCGGGACCTGACTGTATTCACCAACATGTACTTAAGGAGCTAAGTGGAGAAATAAGCGAAGCTCTATATTTAATCTTTCAATATTCGTTTGCTTCCGTTATTGTACCGGAGGATTATAGGTAGGCAGATGTTTCTATATTTAAAAAGGGTTCAAAATCCTTGCCTGGAAATTATAGACCTGTGAGCTTAACTTTTGTGCTTGGGAAAATATTTGAAGGGCTATTAACGGATAATACTCAGGAATTAATTGGGAAGAACTTTGGTATTAGCAATAATCAGCATTGTTTTATGAAACATAGGTCAAACTAACCTAATTACATTCTACAAAGAAGTAGAAATATAGATCAGGGTGTTTCAGTGGATGTGATCTATTTGGATTTTTGCCAAGGCATTTGATACGGTCCCTCACAATAGGTTAGTCTTCTTACTAAAAGAAATTGGTCTTGATGAATATTCTAGTTCTTGGGTAGAACACTGGCTTAAGGATAGAGTACAAAGAGTTGTCATTAATGGTAAATTTTCAAGATGGACAAAAGTGGTAAGTGGTGTCCCTCAGGGTTCTGTTTTGGGACTGCTTCTATTTAACATATTTATAAATGATCTTAAAATAGGCATTAAAAGTCATGTTTTAGTGTTTGCAGATGACACAAAACTTTGTAAAGTAATAAAATGTGAGCAGGATATTGCTTTGCTGCAGAGGGATTTAGATGGAGGACTGGGCACTAAATTGGCAGATTCAATTTAATGTTGAGAAATGCAAAGTTATGCACTTTGGGATCCAGAATGCACAAGCGATTTACACCCTAAATAGTAGTGAATAACAACACACAAGAAGGATTTGGGAATTGTTATAGACAACAAATTAGGCAGCAATATGCAATGTCAATCTGCAGTTGCTAAGGTCAGTAAGGTTTTGTCATGTATAAATAGGGGAATAAATTCTCGGGATGAAAATATAATTTTGCCTCTTTATGAATTGCTGGTAAGACCACACCTTGAATATACTGTGCAATTTTGGGCACCTATTCTAAAGAAGGATATCATGGCACTAGAAAAACTGCAGAAACGAGCTACAAAATTGATAAAAGGAATGAAGCATTTTAGTTACGAAGAAAGGTTAAAAGATTTGAATCTCGAGCAGCCAAACAGACCAGACGTGCTCAGCACAAGCTCCCACGTCTGGGGACACAAAACGGGGTGTTCCAGCCACAAAATCGACTGACAGCAACCGATATCACAACCTGAGAGAAGGTGCTGCACCAAACGGTGCCTTTCCCGAGCCCCAACACCGATGGATCGAGGTTGCGGCCTACGCAAGGCTGAGACACGGAGAGACGGCCACTCTCTAGGCTCAAATAACAGATGGACACCCTGAGAAGCACTCCCACTCCCCCCCCCCCCGGACCAGCGGGGGTCATCCCGGTCCACAACAGGCTACCCTATATACCTTGCAGCCAGCATACGACTAAGCCTGTGGGTACCTGTCAACCAGCGACCCTTCACAAAATGGTGGATACTCCCTTTACCAGTGACACGTGGCAGACCAAGTCAGACGGGTGCTCCACGCTGGATCACATGCTGCTGTGCCTCGACGAATTCCTAGCCCGTCTCTGGGAGATGCTAGAGATACGTGCAGCAATGACTACAGGGGAGCGGAAGAACAAACAGGTGCAAGCAGGAGAGGGGGTGGAACAGACACAACCTCCCGCCAAACATCCAACCCGCACACAGCTAGCTCACCTGGGCAGAGAACCACAAGAGCACATCTCCCAAAATTTCCCCCACAGAGGGAGAAGAGCGGGACTCGCATGAAGTGTCTGACCACCCAGAGCCTCTTGTACTTTACAGAGGCAGCCACCAATAGCCGTCCTGAACGCCTTCCAAGGCCGAAGACCACCCAGAGTAAATCTCCAAGGCACCGACCATACCGCCGGAGGCTGTGAGCCTTATAGGACCCATGCCGCAATGTTTAAATTGATGCTATCCAGTGGGCTCCTACTAAGCGGACACGCTCCGCATGTTACCTGTTACCTGGACATGTTGACTTTTTGCGTACCATACTAAATGTCTCACATTAATCTCACCTGCAAAGACTCCCTAAACGCAACACAATACCAATGCATTTACCCACACCCACGACACCTAGCATGCCATAACATCACACACGGGCTATAGGAAAGGTAGTTAAGACATTTTCAGCTTTCGTAAGGCACTGATCTCTCTATGTCCACGCACAGTCAAGGCGTAGCAGCTTCACATGTCTCTAAGCACACAACTACACATTAGTTTAGCTACACTAGCATGTTTTAGCAACTAGCATATTCCTTTCACACTAATTGTATTGATAACAAGCGTAGTTCCAATTTTATTTTATTAATTTTGCAATACAGTTACGTGCATGCCATTAATCTATTCACTGAATATAAAAAGAGGCTGACGATTTTCAGAGATGATATATGTTGTGCTGTACTAATCCCAACTTGTATGTATCTTTATCATCTCCCCTTCTTCATTCTGTACCATTGTGTACCATTGCAACTTTACACCTCAATAAAAGAAAGATTGACAAAAATTTTTATTTTTTTTTAAATTTAAATCTCTTTAGTTTGGAAAAATGGCACATCAGAGGGGATATGATAACATTATATAAATATATTCGGGGCCAGTACAAACCATTATCTGGAAATCTATTCATAAACAGGGCTATACATAGGACACGAGGTCACGCATTTATGCTGGAAGAAAGGAGATTTAATCTAAGGCAAATACATTTTTTTTTTACAGTAAGAACTATAAGGATGTAGAATTCTCTGCATAAAAAAGTAGTTTTATCAGAGTCCATACAGATGTTTGAACAGAAATTGGATAAATACTTGCAAAAACCTAACATACAGGGATATAATAACAAAAAATATATATGTCAAAATATAACACACATGCTCCCCCAACAGATAAAATAAATAAAAATTATTTTACCAGATGTAAGATTGTAAGAAGACCCCTCAGACCTTCTCAATACAAATACAAAAAATACAATCTACAAAAAGAATAGAAATAGAGAATATATAGTGTAGTAAATTTGAACACCAAATTTAGCACTAGTGGAATACAGGGATATAATGTCTAATTAGTGGGGTAATAGCTGTTTGATACAAGGAGATATCTGACTGCCATTTTGGGTTCAATAAGGAATTTTTCAGACTGGGTTGTTTGCATTCTATTGGCTGAACTTGATGGACACAAGTCTCTTTTCAGCTATGTAACTATATAAAAATATGTGTACTTGCCAAAAATGCACTTAACCTGAAAACATTACCCAGAAATCAAGCCACGCACTGAAGGACAAAATGGTCTTTTCTGGCTGTCCTCCTGCCTGCAGGACCTTGCAGAGAGCGCTGTGCTAGTGCATAGTGCAAGTGCATCTAATGATGCGCTCATGCTGTGCTGCCCAAGGACAGTTTACTGATGTCCCTAAATGCGGGACACCAGGGAATTACAGCAGGACAGGATGCCAAAATAAGGACATCCCACCAAAATTAGGACTGTTTGGTAGCCTGGTCTTACCTAGGTGCTCACCTAAATATAATACATTTCTTATAAGGAAGTCCCATAAGAAGCAACAGTAGTAACTGTAATTACAGTAAAATATCTATACTTACTAACAATATAAACTACTGATACAACTTACCTGAGTCTTGACAAAAATAAGTTAGCCGGGATAAAAGGCTTGAGTTCCGCCAGCAAATGAGAATTTTGAAAGCCTATTATGTTTACACTAGAGGCTGCCTAATGCACCCTTTCAAAAGATACCTAGGCAGTGGCGACTTTTTGAGGCCTTAGGTGAAACTCAAACATGAGGCCCCCACTAACAACCAAAGTGAAAATAAATAGGGGTTGCATTGTGTGTATAAGGTGGGTAGTCAAACATACTTTTTATTATGGATTAATTCCCATGGTGGTCCTGTGGATTCCTATCTGGTCTGCAGGTCTATCAGGTGCAGAGCTGCAGAGCACATGGTACGTACCTTGCGATCGCCAGAAGTATCAGAGCATTCTGTGGTAACCTGCGGCAACGCTCTGATTGGCTGGAAATCGTGAGATACCTCAGTCTGCATCTCTGCACCTGGAGGAGCTGCAGACCGGAGGCTGTACAGGGCGCTTTCCTCCCAGGCCAGACTGAATGGAGGGGCCTTCCACCTGGCGGCATAATGGGCAAGTAGCCGGGCCCCTACCTGTGTCAGGTCCTCAGTCACAGACTGAGGACCCGACATGTCAATCTGCCCTAAGGCAATTTAGGGGGCAGTGAGGCCCCAGCTTGCACAGGGCCTTAGGCGGCTGCCTAAATCGCCTGATTAGAGAGGTGACTGTCCTTAAGTGTTTAATTGTATGGATTATTATTAAATTACCAAGCAGCAAATATGCAAGACAACATTCTTTAATTGTGTTGAATTATTGCATGTCCAAGGAAGCAATGTCTGCGCAACCTTATGCTTTTGTCTAAATTATTATTATTATGTAGCAAAACTACCTAGAAAATGTTATCCAACTTTTGCTTGTATTATCATTATTACCATTATTATTGGGTAGACAAGCAGTTAACTAGCTGGAACAATCAATTGTTTTTGTTATTATATGTATTGTTTTATTTATTATCATCATTACTATTTTATTCCACAACCTTTTTTTCAAAACAACTTGTAATACTGAAACTATTCACATTTGATGAGATGTAGTATGCTGTATCATTTGAGAAAAACAATTCATAGTTATCAGTTTGCACCTCCTATAGGCTCCCCTTAAGAGAACATTCTTTAAATGGACACTTTAGGCACAAGTTAAATTAGATATCACATTTACATTTTAGTCGCATTACAGTGGTTATAGTGTCTGGAGTCCATGGGTGCTATCTTTCTATTCAGCATTAAAAAAAAAATGTGTTTTAATAGTAAACTATAGTGCTCAGTAGCTCATCCCTTCTGTGCTTCTTGGGCTTATGTGAATGCATCAATGGGTTGCCTTGATTGACGAACACCTTTCAGTGATTTTATACCACCCATTGCTTGTATGAATTGGTATTGCTAGAAAAAGTATGTGATCTCTGCATTACCTCCATTGATAAAAAATAATAATAATAATGTAACTTTAGAAACACAGATCTGTATTCCAAACCTATAGTCATAATTTCCCCTGTTAGTTTCAGAGCCACCCCCACCCCCCTGTACACTGTAAAAATGAAATTAAAAGAAATGAAACAAAAAAAAAATAATTATCCTACTTAGAGTCTCTCTTGTTGCTGCTGCAGCCTCCTTTTCATGTGATGTCATTCAGGAGGCAAACCTCCAGGTTGACGGTCCTTTACAATGCTCCTCAAAGAAGAGCATTGAGAACCATTTGCACCATGATGCACCTATGATTCTGCCTTAGAGAATCATTGCATGAAATGATCCTGTATGGCGGAAAGTTACGGCAATGCGCATGCACACAGTATGCAGTGGTATGAGAGCCAGAAAGTAACATACTTTATCTCCAACTATGTTTATTACATTTTAGTTATACACAGAAGGCTGCTACAGGCTTAGCTCTAGACCTCTTTTTTTCAAGAAGTGTGCACAAGGGCTGTATGATCCATAGCAGGGGAGGTTTAACTAGGTTTAATAGCAGGCTCTAGCAGACTATTAACAGAGCAGAAGATAAGAAGTTCTAGATTATACACAATAATGTAAGCTTAATAATTTAAATTATTTTTCAGGAGGTATATAGAGAGACTGTGTAATTCACAGGCAAGGGAGATTTGGCTAGAGCTACATAAACAGTGTATTGATTTAAAGTTGAACTGTCACCATCTGGGTACTTTCCAGAATCTGCAAGGTCCACTGATAGTGACATCGTCGCTGGTGGTCTGAGAGGGATGGGGGTGGGGGCAAGTAAAGGTGAGATTACTTACCTGAAGCTCTCCCTCATGGATGCCACCATCATTCTCACACTGCTCCACTTCAACTCCTGGTGTTTCAGTGCCTGGAGCCAACTTCATTGCTGTACTTTTGCTCATGCACAAGAGTACAGCACTGAGGTCTACGGGGGATCCCGCCAGACCGTAGGAGCCTCAATAGACAAAGGCAATTCCCTGGAGGATGTCGGCTGCTAGTATGGAGTCTCAGACTCTGCCTTGAGTCTAAGAAAGTCAGGCAGAGGAGAAATACAAAGACAAAGTATTCCCTACTTTGTCTCTGTATATCTCTTGACTGAGTTGGAATTTCAGTAAAATTCCAATACAGTTATAATGAGTATTTCATAAAGTTTTTCTATGAAATACTCATGTTTCAGGGGTGCATCAGTGCTGCTTTAACTCAGAAAAGGAACAGTTCTGAGCAGTGAGACTGCAGGGCCATGATCTGTACATCAAATAACTTAATTAAACTAAAGTTGTTTTGGTGGTTGAGTGTTCCTTTAAAGACTTAGGACTTGTTTCCAACCTTGTTGGTAAATAGCTGGTTCCTAGTAGCGGCTACTAATTATATATTGATTTCCAAGTTTGTTGCTATTTTTTGCTGGCTGATCACCAATAATGTCAGCTCACAAAGATGTCCACTTCTTGCAACTTAGCCACAAACTGGTTATGCACAAAAACATATGCTGTGTAATTTGTCACTATAGCAAACCACACATTGCAAGTAAAAAAGCCTCACACTGAACATGTCATAGGCCAAAGCAGGAAATAGTGACAGTGTATAGTTGTAATCAAAATTATTTAACCCCCATTAGAAATTTACTGTCAAAATCTACAGATGTTCTGCTGTTTGCAATGAACAAATCAAACAAAAGCACTTGAAATAGCTCGACACAACAAATGCTTTAAGTGGTTTCCACAAATTCAAACTTATAATAATAATTGGACTTCTCCAATCTCAAAATGATTCAACCCCTTGAAAAGAATCCCTCACAA